CAGGAAATTGATTTCCTTCTTTGCACACAAGGAATATGCTACAAAGTTTTAAGGTGAACTGTTTTTTTTTAACAAATATTTTACTTCACCAAAATGTACAAAGAAATTCTATAAAAATCCTACAATTTCATTTCCTGGATTTTCTTTTTCTCATTTTGTCGCTCAGAGTTGAATTGAACCAAAAATGAAAATTCCTCATCCGTCTTTCTAAGTAGGATAAGTTGCACATTCAATGTCTGAATACTTTTTTGTCCCAGTGTTAGATTTTTTAAAAACACGTTTGTTTCAATGTGCATACCTTTTATTTAGTCATTAGCAACGTTTCGATGTGCAAACAGATTAATATCTGATCGGATTGTATCGTTAAAATTGACATATGTAATTAGAATGGACTACTCAGATCAACTCGTCTCATTCAGAATAACTTCATCTTTACATGCAGGTTTATACGCATGCTGATTGGATTGTCAGTCAGCACAAACCAGCCCTCTCAGTCAGATTACAATTGTATCCCAATCCTTCCAAATCCGATCAAATTATTACGACTGGCATGTTTACACACATTTTAATCTGATCGGCGTTTTATCACAATTACTTATGTCCATGCAATTCTAGGTGGTTACAGAAGTGGCTGATAAAGAAACGTGTGTAATAACTCACATTAATGATGACCCCTTTGTCCAGCAGGCTTTGCTTCTTTGCAGTCATCACAAAGTAGTGGGTGTTGTCCTTGTAGTACACAATGTTTTCCAGGTCAATTCCTGAAAATTGGATTATTTTGTTAAGTACAGATCCCTTTAAAGCTATTTATATATAAATCACCTAAATATTGAATATTTTTTGCATAATTATTTATTCACCCGTCTCCTCTTTAAGTTCAAGGAAGAACTTCTGGTTGAAGATGAAGGCGACGCCACTGATTTCCTCCACTTTAGCCTCTGCTGTGGTGTTTCTATTAACAAAGTTGGCTGTTATAGCAATGGCCAACTTCCCTCTGAACTCTTTGCGACTGAAACCTGCGGAAAAAGGATGCGATTTTAGAGGGTGAAGGATCCAAACACATCTACTGGAAATACGGGAAATAACTCGCACTTTCTAATTAAAGGAATAGTACACCCAAAACATGATTAGCCTTCATTTTCTACTCACCCCCATGCTGAACAACACTCTGGAGTACTTTTTTGATATC